GCATGCCGTATTTAAGGAACAAAAAATGTACGAGAAAATGAGTAAGCGAGTCTAAAATTATTCATACTGAAAGACAGAATGTAGGGGACTGTTGACATATCAAAATGATCTTTTGGTCGCTACATAATACCATAACTCACCGACTGCAAGTGAAAGGAACCTAGATTCGAAGGCCATTTTCGTCGAATAAACTGTCGCTCCTTGGTGATTAAAAAGCCGTTTTTCTCACTAAAACAAACCCCGATTCCTTTACCTTTCCGTCTACATATAGTAAGGAGTTATGATTTTCTCAAGACACGGTTTTTATCCTTTAAGGTTAGATAAAACAGGCGGAAAATCGACAAGATTTCCTTCAGGAAAACATCGCTCCCGAACACTTCGCCATGACAACTCAAATTGACTTTGATAATCAACTACCGGGATGCTTTGCGCGCGTGCTGCTAAAAGGGGAAACGTCTATTACATGTGGATACAATATGGCTGGGGCCTGGAGCTTCACTCACTTCAGCGGTGATCATGTAAATGTTCATACTGACAGGCAGATTATAATCAGTCCCACTGATTTTGGTGCGCTGGCCCCAACATATCCTGGCCAAGCTTTTAACATGCAGTAAAATATCCTCTAAAAGATTTTGAACCACTGATAAAACTTCCATCTTTATCAGTGCTCTCGATGAGGATAATTCAAGAGAATTACGGTGCGCAAAAGAACCCACCTTTTGAAACCTCTTTTGCATGCACTGTTAAGCCTGTTTCCAATTCTCTTATAGAAATATTTTATAGTATGCAAATGCCAACATACCTTAAATATGCGGAAATTCCGAATCATAGCAACGAATTGCCTTCGCGATTTTATTCATAAAATTTAATCATAATTATGTTGTTCATTTTATCTGTAGAATACCGAGAAAGAGAAAAATTTGGAAAATCTTGGCAATGTGAGTTATTTGAAATACATGCAATAAATTGTTCATTTTTCTTCGAATGATTCGAAATTTTAGGTCAATTGATGTCAACCGAGTAAAATACTCAAATCATGCACTTACCGTAGCATTGACCATTGAGTCTCGTGTGTACAGTAGATATATGGGCTATTTCCAAAAGGTTATAATTATGTGTAAATGTTGTTGGTTTCCATGATTTTCCTCTCCTGTTATTCATATATCAATACCTATGAATCCTATAATCTCTGCAACACTGACAAAATTCGTAATTCAGGCAATGGTCAAGGGATTTTGGGAAACGATTTGGAATTTTAATTTAATAGGAAACGCACAATCTCCGTAATTCCGTAATATAAAAGGAACCATTATATAAGATGTATGCTTTGCATCGCATTGGATTGTAATGGAACAGTGACAATAATCATATACTATGCATGAGGAGATACTTCTTCAAAGGGAATTTTTTCCTGACAACAATAGGTCTTATATATACAAATATGCCTATATAATGCGTTCAGGTAGGCTTTATAGGTTATTAGTAAATCCGTCACGCTTGGATATATTGAACTGCATTTAGTGTTGAGGGATGATCCACACTGGCTGGATTCGTAATCTATCAAAAATTAAATCACCCTCATGACATATAATGCACATAAGTAGCCAAGTGAACAGAGCATTTAATTTAATTTATGTTTATTTTTATGCAGGCTGAGCTAGAGTATGAAGAACTGAAAGCATCATTTGACGCACATAATACAAAGCATGAAATTTTAAAGGTAGGCCTACTGTAGTTATTTTAAGTACATCAATAGTACTTTACAATTGATTGTAGATGGACGTAATGAGAATTTAGTGTGTCTTCATCGCTTAGCATATACAGTATACATATATATATTCTTGCATGCATGGTTTCCACTTGGCGGGAAAACGCTGATAAGCGAGAATATATCATTAGCTATTTGGAATGTGTTTTCTTTCAAATTTACCTTCGTATCTTTGCCTTATTATGTATATATATATATATATATATATATATATATATATATATATATATATATATATATATATATATATATATATATATATATATATATATATATATATATATATGTATATATAATCTCAACTTCGTTGTATATATCAAATGTGGCATTGGAAATGACTGGGTTATAGCTATTAAGCATATTTTCTGTTTATCGTAAAGCGGGTTTGCGAGTTGGTTTTTGCCATGAGTGGAACTGAAAGAACCTTATATAGTAATATCGAATAACCAAAATGGAATGAAAAAATGTTAACATTGCGTAACAGCACAAAACACATTAGCCAAATGAAGAGCCTTCGTTCCAAACGTCGAAGTTCGTTCTTATTTTCCGGGTAGTTGCATCATATCAGAGGCGTAACCAGGATAGTTGGTTAGGGGGTGAGAGCAAAAACCTATAGGTGGGGCCAAGCTGCCAGTGACTCGAGACGCAAAGTTTCGTAGAGATTTGCAATAGCCGGTCCCCTTATTGCGTATTCTGAATACAACTACCAGCATGCTTTTCGGACATGTTATTGCATAATGAAGAAATACCCGCAAAGTATCATGGACCATAGATTAGTTGTATTCAGAACACGTAATAAGGGGAACCGGCTATCGAGAAAACACATTGGTTTAAACTTCATCCCTCATTTAATACATATTGAAATAATTAGGGTTAGAAAAGGTATGCATTTCAAGCTGTGTGCCACAAATAAGCGAACGCGAACAAGATTTAGGTTTCACACATGATGCGCAGCAAAGCATATATTCTACAGAATTTTTGCATTATTGACAGCATGAAGCTATATATAATCAAGGATTCCCTTTTTTATACAATACATTTTATCAGGGGGGGGGGGCAAAATTTTGCCAGGCTACGCCTCTGCATCATATATATACCCAACCCCGCAAATTATATGACGAAGTTGTGTTCTATAGTTGTATATTTTATATGAGTTCTAACAACAGCAGCGCAATTATTTTGTGTATAAACATGGACGACACTGCATGATGTTGCTGCTATTGTGTTCCAGGCACAGTGTTTGCGCGAGAGCATTACTCGTTTGGCTGATGGTACAAAGACTTTTGCTCAACGCGTATCAACTATAAGTGAAGCAGAGAAGGAAATAGCGAGCTCCATTCCTGTTGTGCCTACACAAATAGGCCGCATTAATAAGGAATACCAAGGTTAGTTATATTGCCAGAATATTTAACAATTATTCGCTGAAGGCGATCGAGGTGATTATCGGGAAATATTCACCGAGACGAAGTGGAGGTGAATACTCCCCGATAATCACCGAGCCTGAGGCGAATAATTGTTTTAGTATTTTTACACAAGCTTTTGTGTTTTTTGAGACTGAATTTATTTTAATTTCGCTTATTTTTTATCAGTATATCTCCACAAAAAAGCTAGCCGCCATTTTTCAAATTTTGGTTTTGTTATATTCACCTGCAGGTGAATATTACCTTCTTATTAACCGAACGCGAGGTCTCTACAGAGAAATATCGGACCGAGGTCTTTTTTGTACAGACCGAGCCCGAGCAAGCGAGGTTAATAAAAAGTTTATTATATGACATTTATAGGCATTTATATTTGAAATGCATATTAGTAGCGCGGTACCCATTTGGTCGAAGAAAACAAAAAGTACCAATGTATTCCTTCTTTTTCACTAAAAACCATTCGCAGGTATCTTATTGTTAACAAATTAAATTATAATTATCAATCAGCTTTTCTGTTTTGTTTTAAAATGCATGCGTTTGTTTTTACAAAATAGTGGACCGCTGAAAGTGCTTCTCAGCCAATCACAATCCGCCATTTCACGGGAAGTAATGCTTGCCATATAATAAAACAGCTTAATACGTAAAGTTTGACCAATCAACTTGTAGGATTTGTTATATTCACTTGTGCAAAAATACTAAAATATATTAGATAGTGCATGTTTTCGCGCAATTTCATCGGTTCCCCAGCTCCGGATATCCTCGCACTGTAAACCACTATTCATCTCAGGACCAAAACAAAATGTCTTCCCGTTCAGCCAAGCTGTAGTTTCGCCTAACAAAGAAAGCCACAACTATAGGTTTAACAGTGTTTATAGAGGTATTTTTCTCTTCTCTCTCCGGCCACATCCACCGCTATCAAACCCCTGTTATTTTGTAACATCCCAATTTTGCACTTCTAAAATTTAACCCTGATAAATCTAGTGTTCGAGTGTCTTCTGGCACAGATTTTACCAATAATATACCACTTACAGGTTTTCGTTTTTATCGCTATAACATATGCCTATAGTTACGATAGCTCTTAAAGCACCCCAAAAATATTGGAAGCGAACATGTGCGACAGAACTGGCAGAGTGGGAGTGATTGAACCATAGCGGGAGTGGTTTATATACTGATGCATATCCAATGGGAGCTAGATCTCGCATGGACGGGGGATCACTTCAACAACAACGAGTTGAAATACTGTACATACACATTTTCTTAATATAGGCGAGGAAGCGACAGAAGAAGTAGTCAAAAGAACAGCGGATGCTTTAAACATTTCCCGACCAATATCATTCGCGGATGTACTTGCCAAAAAACGTGCTCGTGCTCGAAAACTGAAAGTAAAATCCTGCTTTTTGCCCGAATCAAATGAAACAAGCTCGCCTGAAGAAATGGATTGGGTTATGGTTGAACAATCGATGTCAGCGTCGCTTGTAGATCTAAGCAAGGACTCTGACTGGTCGAATAACGATAGACGTTTAAGCTCGGAGATGTTCTCTTGTTTAAAAGAGCGGCTTCATATTGATAGCCCTAGTGGCAGATCATATATTTCCAATCCTGGAATTGAACAACGAATCGCGTTCAGGGCAGGACTAGGGCTCAATGCAACGGACGAACGCCTTGAACCACCTGTTTTCCCGCCCCCTCGTCCCAATGCAAGAAAAGGTAAGTTAGTGTGAATGTACGTAGTGTGAAGGTGTTTAAACACATTGAGCAACTCGTATCACGTAGGGAGCTTTAAGATGATCTAATTTTTATTGTGGAATCTCGTTTAGAATTTTAGCACTCAAGTGAGTAGTAGTATCTTAACTAAATCTTTGAGTCGAAATATTCAGTATAAAGGGAAGTGACATCTACTATTATATGAATATCCGGGATGAATATCCGGGCTTACCAGAGACCATTACGAGAGACGTAGCGAAACATCTGGATTTGGATGGGGGTTGGCGTCTGAGGCAACGCCCAGGAAATTACTGTATTATATTTTTGAACCTCCAGAACTGCGTTTCGGCGTTTCCTAAAGCACACTTGCAAACAAATTGCGCTCACATTGCCAGTATTTTACACAAAATTCCTGTTATGTGGAAGTAATTTAACGTTTACTTTAATTAGTTATGATTTGACAAAAGATAACCACAGTATTGCCTAAACTTTACCTAAAAATGTCAAAATTTGTACTTGAATTTTGCCTGATTTTTCTGCACTTTTAGAGTTCAGGCAGTTTTACACTCCCCATAACGCCCGGCCCACTCGCTACGTCTCTGGCGATTACAAATCAAACGCTTTGCAATGTATAGCGTTTCCTAGCCATGATAGTTTTTTAGCATGGTATATGCAGTCGTGAAATAACATGGCTATACCCACCTTTAATTAATTTAATAAGTACATGCCTACCTTAAATTTTATGCACTAATTGTATTGTAGCCCCAAAGCCTCCGGTAGATCTACCAAGAGTTGAACCATACGCTGTTGGTCGTTGGACACCAAATGAAGCAGGACTTTACGCTCAGGCAGACTTGTTTCCTTCAGGTAAATTGTATATTTAATGTGTAATTTATACCAAACTCTAGTCAGAATGTATAGTGTAGGAACTTCCAGTCCAAAACCATCCTGGAGGAGATTCGTTTCCCTCACGAAGTACCGAATCTCATTTGCATGTCGTGATAGCATGATGAAACTTTGATCTATTTTTCATACATTAATCTGGGTTTGATTTTTATATCAGAGAATGAAACACAGAAAACATGTTCCCTAAAATGTTCGTGGCCTAGGGGAAAAGAGATCCGACTTCTATTACAATATATGTGTAAATCATATTTAATCAATTATCTGTAGGATACGTGATTGCCAATCGGAAGGCACGCCCAGTGGCTACAGTACTAAAGGCCCGCTAAAACTAGGTGAATATATATAATTCATCCAACATTGTTGGATGCAACATGTTGTACTCGTTTGAACACTATGTTGCATGGGTAATATATTGGCTGATGTTGGAAAATATTGGATCGGGTTTGATTTTGCTTAAATTTTCATTCAACATTGTGCAACAAACGATTAGGCGTGCGCATTGCAAAACACGCTCGATGCAACATTGTCCAAGAAAAATATTGTTGGACCAACATGGACTCGGTTGGACGCGGGGCTTCAAATTTACATATAAATGCACTGAATCACGTACTTCATATTTTCCTATCCCTGTGTACGAAGCAGTTTCACAGCATTGGTAAGAAAATGCGTTCTCAGAATTATAGCATTCAATTAAACTCGGTAAATCTTCCGCGGAATAGCGTCAGTGTTCATACTATAGTAGATAACGGAATGTACCTTTAGAGCATTGCTCTTTGTTGTTTGAAAGTGCTGTTGTCTAAAGGTTTTCTTAGTTATTTCACTTGCTTTGACATACAGTTAGCATGCGCAAGTTTTGAGAATAGAAAAGTCTGTCGACTGCAATCATGCCGTTTCTATCGAGTTGTACTGCTGCCGGAAGTGGACAGTGAAAGACAAAAACATTCAAGATACGAAGAGATAATTTCACTCGAAAAATGCCTGTCTATCCCTTGTTTTATTTCTTTTTCTTAAAGGATAATTAATATTTTAAGGAATTTAAAACAATTTCTGGTATTAAACTAGCAGCAATCAAAGCGCAAAAATGATGTAAGCGAATCTTTCTAAATGAGGTGTCTAAAGTTTATAGTGATTCATTTATTTACTCCTGCATACGTATCGACAGTTCTTTGCAACTCTTAAAGCGTACTGAAATTCACAAATTATACTTACAGTACTGTGGTTAGAACTTGGAATACTCGATCCACGCAGGATCTGATTTCCTCAGTATATCATTAATTATTATTATTATTATTATTATTATTATTGTAGTTTGTATTTCGACGTAGGTGTTACCAGGCCTCTTCACAGTTGGCAAGAAGATGAGAAAACCAATAGAAGAGAAACAGATGACTCAGGAGAATATACGATGCCAAGGCAGTTTACGAATCAAAATGAAGCCGTATATGCTGTTCTTGAACAAGAAGGAATGGATGTTACTACAGATGAACGATATCTTGATGTGATACAATAACATTAAAAGCAAAGGAAACATGACGTTATTTTGGATGCAACTATAAAAGTAGTGCATATTCGTGTATTTCCGAGCCAAAGACTTTTCTATGTTCATGGGCGTATGGGCCTAATCTTGTTGGGGGAGGGCACAGTATTAGTTTGCCCGATTATTCTTTTCGCCTGATTTTTCTCAATCAATATTTCTCCCCAAAATTGTTGGCGAGCGGGGGGTGGGGGGGGGGGTTCGACAAAAAAATTTTCCGAACATATCAAAAAAAAATTCCCTAACATCCCGGAATTTTTGCACACATGCAAAAAATTTTCCGGACATATTAAATAAATTTTCCTAATATCCCGTAATTTTCGCAACCATACAATAAATTTTGCGTCATATCCAAAAATTGTTTCGGAACTTTTATGTTTTGCCCGAATCACGCATGGATTTGCCCAACTGTAATAATTTTGGGGGAGCATATGCCCCCCATTCCCCCCCCCCCCGGCCCATACGCCCATGTCTATGTTCCGCAATGCTTCTTTCTTTAGTTTATATTTAAGACGTCTTCCTCTCAATGTTACGACTTACGAGGGTCTTCCACTAAATTATATTTGCCCTAATCCCACAATTGTGTCGACCGCCCCACCCAACTTGTGAACATTCACCGAGTCCTGCACAACCGCTTCTCAAACGCCAAACTGTGATACTAAATTCACTCTCCTTACTTTAATACTCTTCGTTACGCATGATTGCACTTAAAATAGCTGCTCTATAAACCAATCAAAATAGAAAAAAAAAACTTACCTGATGCTGCACACACACAAAGACAAAACAACAAAAATAGAAATATGAATTTAAAAAATATTAAATCCCATATGAAAGGTGATATGCACAGGGTGTATAAAAATACGCAACCTCGGAATTTCCTAAGAAATCCACTTTGCAATTCTTAAGCCTAAAAGATTTTAGGCCTCTGGGAATTGAAATCGAATTGCAAATAGATCATATCATTGTTGTTGTACTGTTAAATAAATGCATAAATTTTGCTTTATGCACTCGCGTGTGCAGTAATTTTGACAGTTGTGCTATTTTAAATTCCCATGAGGCACCTAAAATCTTTTGTCCTTAAAACAATGTCGATTTCTGAGGTTGCGTTTTTTTTATACACCCTGTACATCACAGCTAGCTGATTAAATAATTAATATGCAAAGTCAACGAGGCTTCCGCCCAACGGATTATCCCAGAGCCTCCAGACTCGCGAGCCATGTATAGTCATTTATAAATGTTTAAATGATTTAAAAGATTTTAAATTTGAATTAACGAAGACATTCACAGCTATTACACAAGAAGAAAAAACGACCTCCACCTCCCAAAGACGAACACAAACAGGGGAAAACAAAGACCAATCTACCAAGCATCAAAAGACTTTAACAACCTAGAACCATGCAGACATTAGAAACGCTAACTCGTTATACAAGTTTAAAGCTCTAATAAGAAACGCTGTGTAGGCGAGAATTACATAGTAAACATAGTCATAGTTCCATAACGTTTTATATATATATATATATATATATATATATATATATATATATATATATATATATATATATATATATATATATATATATATATATATATATATATATATATATATAACGTTATGGAACTATGACTATGTTTACTGTAGATTTGCATGCATGCTATTTTGTAATATATATGTATTGAAGTTGAACTAATTTATAATGCAGGACCCCACTGAAAAACACTTCGGTATCCTGGATAAATATAAATATAATAATAATAATAATAATAGCCTCACGTTCCTTCCCGAGGATCGCAGGCTCGAAGAACAAGATTGATCGCAAACCCAATTGCTTACGGGCGCGTGCATTCTCGTTCCCAGTTCCCGCGAAATTAATATTACTCGTTCCGAATTCTCGTTGATTAATTTTTACAAATACCGTATTTATATATTTACGATAAAATTACTAAAAATCTAGAAAAGAAATTGCAATGCATACCCTACAAAATGAAACATCAAATCTCACCTTCTCTGAGAGCTTCAAGCATGTTACTTAGCAATATACCAATGCTTTAAATTTGCGAAGTTTAAATGATGGGAAAAATTGTCTAATTTCTTCTTCGTCCTACAAAGCACTACGTCTTCGCCATCTAACTTTTCTTCTTCCACATATACAAATAATTAAAAAGAAATAATTATTACGAAACTGTTAAAAACAAGAGATATTCCTCTTTTACTTTTATACCAAAATAAAGTAACGTGCAACTCACCAAAATGTTCTACAACATCACTGGGGAACTCACGATACACCAACCAATCCGCGTCAGTTCAGAACACGAAAATATTATCTGGAGGATATCTATTGACGTATAGCTGGCTAAACCCCACTTGCATCTCACTCCCCAAAATTTAGAATGGCCAACTTTTTACTCAACCAACAACATGTCACTTGAAGAGAATATTTTTATCGACCAATGGAAAGCGTCTAACCATGGGGGTTCTATTAACCGTGATCTAACGAAGATTTGGAGACAATACCAGTTCTCCTTAATAAAGTACTCCTTATAGAATATAGATATTTGCAATACATTTTGAAACAAGCATTTTATTTGAAGTTGAAAGAATAACTTTACTGTATATCTGCATGTTTGGTATAATTAGATTTATGTTACCAAGTGTAATCATGTAAAAAATAAAATCTCACAATGTATAATCCAAAAAAACGTCCTCTTCTTTTTCTTTGCGAGTGCATGTGCATTATTTAAGTTTTAGGCGGAAGTTAATTTGATACGATCATTCGAGGGACGATCGACACAATTAAGATTCGATTTGATAGAAGGATCGATATGACACAACTGAAGAGACGTACGATTTGACCGAAGTGTCGATTTGACACAATTAGGAGTCGGTTTGACAGAAGGATTAATTTGACACAATTTAAAGTCGATTTGACAATAGGGTCGATTTAACACAATTAATAGTCGATTTGATACAATTAATAGTCGATTTGACACAATTAATAGTCGATTTGACACAATTAAGAGTCGACTTGACAGAAGGGTCGATTGGACACAATTAATAGTCGATTTGACACAATTAATAGTCGATTTGACACAATTAATAGTCGATTTGACACAATTAAGAATCGATTTGACAGAAGGGTCGATTTGATACAATTAAGAATCGATTTGACAGAAGGGTCGATTCGACACAATTAAGAGTCGATTTGGCAGAAGGATCGTTTCGACAAAAGGGTCGATTTCATTCCAGGGATCCGATTTGACCTATGCGAGAGTCGTTCCGCTATGGAGAGCCAAAACAAATCTCGTTGGGGCCAATATGTTAATCAAAAGCGGTCCTTTATGTGGGACCAAAACAAACCCGAACGTGAGAGTCGTTTTGGCCTGTGGGGCTACACTGGCAATTGATGGGGCTAAATTGAAAAATGTGGGGTCCGTTACGGCAAAGGCCAATTTAGCTTTCCTCCATACCTAAAACGGCTCCGTGGGTGCCGATCCAGCTCTCCAAAGCCAAAATGGCTTTCACATAAGGCCAAAACAGCTTTGGCCCCAAAAGGACTGAAACGGAATTTTGGGTCGTTTTGGCCCTTTTTAATTTACAGTGCAGCTCACGACCAAGCCAAGCAACTAAATTATCCTTTAGGCTTTACTGTCAAGGTATACGATCATTAGTTACAACGCCCATTGATTGAGATACGCAACACAGATCATATAGGCCTACATGCAGAATTAATTGTAAATGCTCTATATTTATTCATTTAACTAGAAATACATGCAAGCAGTAACCCCTCATCCTTTCTAAAAAGAGTAACTATAAGTCCAAAACGTTGTTTTAACACGAAGTATTTAACAAAAAAAGATGAACGTCTATGGTCAAGCCGTATATGTTTCATGCATGTTTGTAAAACGCAATATTTTAAAAAGACAAAACGACGGCTGATAGTATATAATTTCAATCACTAATTTAAAGAGAAATTCAAGAGAAGATGACGAGCCCAATACGCAAAGCAAATACATGCAGTATGCAATTTATTTTACTACGCTTAAAAGTTTCTACTTACCCTGAATTATTAATTGCATGTTTTCCACAAGAACCACTTAATTTGCAAGGTGTCCAAACATATTAATGAATATTTTAACGAGTTTTCGCATTTATTCAAATTGGTACATTTTTAATTTTCACTCTTTTGTCATTTGTATGCGATTTTATTTGCATTAATATTCCGTTTATGATTTTATAGGATCAATAAGCAGCATGCAAGACATCTGGGCGACAAGCTTTAAACGAACGTAACCGCTATATATATACATGCAGTGGAGGGAAGAACATGAACTCCATGCAGTACTTAATTTTCATTATCAGCAACTTTTGCTGCAGGTCAATAATTGCATGAATGTATGAGAACTCTTGTGCGATTTGCCAGTATCATGCATGCACAAGTTTTTCAAAGACAACAAATTACACTCGTTTTCAGTTAGTTCAAGAGTTTCAATGATACAGTAGTTAATTTGAAATACTAATCCTATTCAAAATTGGCCATTGAAAATTTCCATTGATTAGTAAAACCTATATTTTACTTTAGTATAAAATTCAAGCCTCTGTCGTTTTATAAATTGCGAGGTTCATATCCGTATATTTGTATTGCTTTTCAGGCATTATTTATTACAACTTTCAGAAAATGACTGCATGTCATGTCCAGAGGATAGCGCTATATCCGGCCTTCGTATATGTGACAGGCCCCTGATCATAAAAATATCACAGTGCGTTAAGAACGCATGCTGTCAACAGATCATGTTTGATAATAATAATAACATAATTATGTGCTATTAAATTTGCAAGCCCTAGCTGGTTTGAACTTTTGCTCTCTCCAATTGATTCAAAAGCGCTGGTCATACAGATCTGGTAGGTTGATATTCAGTTCGACTCGCTGAAAATGCAAGAAAATCTAATCTGAGTTAACATTACAAGCATGACATCATATATAGTATTAGGTTTTTATTACGAGTTCCTCTTTTCTCTAATTTTTTTCTCTGCCGTCCAATTCCAGGTAATCCTTGGCCTTTCCCCTTTTTCTTTTGCCACCTATTCAGATGCAATATTTGATAAAAATTTAAATATTTTAGATAAAATCTTTTAACAATATAATTCAATTCTTACTTGGGAAATCAATATTTTTATAATATTATTTTTCATTATTTAATCCGCCTGTGCAGATGACTGGGTAATTGGAAAACGGAAAAAGTGCACTTAGCATATAGACTTGAAAATAATAGACAGTTTTAATAACACTGCAATATTAATGAAATAACATTAACATCTGCTGTTGGTTATATTGGCTAGAGTTCGATTCAGCTATCAAATCTATTCTAATCGTACAAGCAGTGATATATCAGAGGTGCGTTTGGAGGTATATTGCATCCAGGTAATAAAATGAACTCAACAACAGGCAGCATGTCGAAATTTGTTGAAACGTGTTATATTTTAAACGACATAATAGAAGTAGTCATCAAATTCCCCTCTACTTCCAGTGTAATCCCCTACGTCGTTGCACACGTGGTAAATGTAACTCTGGTTTTTACTACCATCTTTCTCAATGGTGTTACTGTCGCAATAATTTGGAACTCTAGTATGCTGAAAGAAAGAGTGTCCAACTTTACTATCTTGATTCAATCTGTCGTGGACCTAGCAAACGGTATATTCTTCATGGTATTATCTTCTGTGCTCTTAGTGGGTGACATCATTGGGAGTCCATCTTGCATTACAGTTTATATTGCAAAAAGAATAGGATTTCTCATATTCTTTTATTCAATGACAGCAATGACTATGATGAGTTTTGAAAGGTATATGGGAGTCCTATACCCCTTTGTCCACCGTATTGAAGTGACCAAATCAAGACTGTTCAAATACTTTATTTCTATTTGCAGTTTGCAAACTCTTCTGCACACTGCTTTCAGTTTGTTCAATAGACCACATATAGGTCGAGCATTCTTCGCAGGAAACTTGTTTTTGTTTCTAGCGTTCACTGCGTTAGTGTACACCAGAATTTTCTGTTTTCGTACCAAGAACAACAGATTTCCTCCTGGACGCGCAGTCGTCAGTGTCTCTGAGGGAAACAACGTGGATAGAATAGCACGATTCATAAGAGAATTTCGAATAGCAAAGTCATGTTTCCTTGAAGTATTAAGCAACCTTATATGTTGCTTTCCTTCAATTATAATTTTTACAGTCTTGAACCTGAAACCAAGTTTCTCTGTAATAACACTTAGAAAGTGGTCGTACATTTTAAGCATGCTAAATTCAACTGTAAATTCTCTGATATTTTTCTGGCGTAACAAAGAACTGAGAACTAAGGGACTAACGCGGATGAGGAACTTGCTCAACAGAATATTTATGACACGTTCTTCAGAAGTGCAATAGAACTCCACTGAGATGTTGTAACCTGCTCGCAGGCCAAAATTTCAAAAACCGAAAATTTCGTACAAATTAGTCTGCAAGCAGGCTATACTGAGATGTGACGCCTGAAAATTTGCGGTCAAAATTGTACGAAATTTTCACATGCTAAGGATTGTAGGGGCATGAAATATATATCCACAGTACACTTGCCGTTTGTTCTTTCTGTATGAGGCATGTGCTTCTTCATGGCCTTTGCCTCCTGATATGTATATAGAATACTTCATGGTAATTAGTAGGCCGTACGCAGGAGGAAGTGTGTGGGGGGGGGGGGAGAACAGCATGGCCGCCTCCTCCCCGAGAAAATTTACCTTACCAATTTTACGTTATTATAAATTATTAAGCCAAATGGCGCTTATAATCTTGTGAATCAGAATATATGATTCTGTATGGGGCAGCCATAAGGATGCATCGAACTATTTTGACTTTGAATGCATTGACATTTGTGAACTTATGTCAGGATCAAAACATTCTGCGTACGGCTCTCGATGTGTGAAGGGCTATAACTGACCAGTGAGCGAGCGCTGCGCAAAACGAGTGTGTGCAACGATCTTTCACAACGAGCAAAATATTTGTACAAACGAACCAATATAGAGATTTATTTTACGCTCACATGCCATTGACCAATCGCGGGTCTTCAATAGCATCACGTGCCAGCCCGGTATTTTACGATCTAGGACAGTTCATATTGGACTGTATAGCTTAGGCCATGTAAAACATATCTCAGTTTATCATCAGCGCCCTCATCCATGCCATTTTTCGTGCCGCATGGATTTTTTTTATTTTTTATTTTTAAAAATCACTATTTCCGGCGGATCGTGTGAGGAACCCACGCGAGATTTTCACAGATGGTCGGCCATTTTGAAAACACCAGTTCATATTGACAACTGATACACACATGCTCTGACACACATGTAATATTAATGAAAAGTGTAATACTAATAGTATTGAAAATATTATACCATACAACTCTGCTGCGTGTTTGAGCATATTTTTTCCGTGCACCTACTGAATGTGATTCGTAGGGATTAATAGTACGAGTGATGTTTGGAAATTTTGCCAAAATTGGACGAGCTGCCGGGGCGAGTCCAATTTGGCAAATTTCCAAACATCACGAGTACTATTAATCCATAATTGTACGAGCAACATCGCATGATTACTTGTTTATTATTAGCATGACAAATCTGGATACTTCTCAATGTTAACATCATATACTCTCTCGCCAAAGCCCAGTCCTGCCAGACTTTGGTGCTTTGTCCATAGTGCTTTGTTCGTATTTTTATCTGTGTTTAAAATACCTTTCCGCCATTTTGTTTGTTTTGGGAAAATCATTAATTGTACCGCAGTACATTAATTGTACTGCAGTACAATTAATGAAATAATTGTACTCCTCTCAACCAATCAGCATCCAGTAATTTTGTCATGCTAATAATAAATACAATAATAACCACGTATGGTTTATATTCTGGTTGAAGAATGTATTTGAATATACAGCATATAACCACAAAATAGGAAAGTATAGCAGAAGTGTAACCCACGAAAATTTTAACTCGCTCACGCCATCCTGGCTAGTACAGCCGGAAGTTTTTATCAGGTTTTGATAGGTACAAAGTGCCGGTTGTACTAGCCAGGATGGCGTGATTGATGATCGGACGAATCGCTTGTAAAAACGCGGACAAATACTTGCTTGAGTGAGACTTCTGGTATACCTTCCTATTCTATGATATAACTATCACAGCCCATTTTATACTTGGCCAATTTTATACTTGGCCCATTTTATACGGGCTATGGTCTACGAAATGAAGACCATAGTCCCAATCAAAATTGGATCAAGTGTATTAAAGTGTGTAACCCATTTTGCATTGGCGTAATGGCATCTATATGCAAATTCTCACGGTTCCCAATCGTATCAGTGTTCCCAATACGTATTATAAACTGCGATTTTTATTCAGAATCAGAGAGCGATATTAAGTGGCAGTCCCGCTAAGAGCGGTCCGATGACTTTGACTTCGGAAAATAGATTTCCTTTATTTTTTGTGTGTTGAAAGGCATTGGTATACAAGTGTCCAAAATAAATTTATTTTTTGAAAATTCTTTTTTATGGCTTCGCTAGACGCCGAAACTCATTTTACCCGTGCAGAGCTAATTTCAAGCAAAATCGAAGGTTGAATTTTGGTAAATTGTAGAGCCGCGCTGTGTCAAAACGCCTGACTATTTCCAAATTTCAACTACATCAGCAAGTTAAGATACAATTCAGGTTCCCTGTTCCACAAAATAAGAGCATTTGAGCAAATTGTGAATAAACGACAGCGACTTGACGGCACACCGGTTTTTGCTTCTTGTTCGGTCTACAAAATTACACTAAAATCGAAGCCTGAGATCTCCAAATGGGGACCTAAAATTACGCTGAAATGTGCTTGGCTGTAATGATTTATACTTATTTTCAGAACATCTGAAGAAAAACCTGCGGGTATCAATCTGTATTTGGCGCGAGTTAAGATTTTCTGGAGCCCATAATCAATGATTTTGCATAATTTATAGCTACTTAACATATTTCTTGAGAGGCGCTAAAAGTAAACAATTTCTTTCTGACTATAACATATCTCAGATGAAAGAAACTACCACAGCTAGTAATACCCTTTTTGTAAATATAGTCGTAATGTTCTTTTCCTGACACGCTGAGAGAGCTTTGTTTTTGAATGTTAGGGAGCATTCATTTTTTAGCTGGGGGGGTGTGCCAGAGGAATTTGGGGGTGGGTCAGCCAATTTTGACATGCTTCAAAGGGGTGGGTCTTTTTATAGTTTTGGTATAAATGAAGAGGGTCATAAAAATAATCAGTAAAAAAATCACGAATATAATTTTATAGAATTTGGAAATATTTGGATGAAGAATGGTAAAAAGGTCCTGAATCTATCAACTATCTCGTCATCTATAACAGTGAAGCAAAACATTTCCATGATGTTCGTCAATTGACTTCGTTTTTATCCGTTTTTGTGTGAAAACATGAATGAAAGAAAACGCAGGACCGTAGCATGATTTCAAAATCATGCATGGTTTCAAGGTCTGCATGCATTTATCATGACCTTTATCAATTTTATGCTTTATTAATTTTAAGCGGCTACATTATCCATGACAAACTGCAAAGAATGAAGATAGTACCCACAGTTTCCTGCAACTTATCCTAGTTATCCAATATATAGTTAATTAAATACGCGTTCGCCCATTGAGTACTACCAAATTGTCAATTTCGACATACTAAAACGCTGTTTTCTGACCATCAGAATTCTGTCAAATCTTCCGCAAAGTCCAGGAAATGGCATTTCAGAGACTCTAGATTTAAAAATTTCCTCGGGCCTTCGGCCCTCGCTTTCAGTCCCCCTATCAAAAAGAGCTTCCAACGGCCCTGAAACGCTACGGAAACGACACCGTGTGGATTATTTATAGTTAGGATGAGGGGTCAAAAACTTTTTCAGTAAAAAAAATAGGGGGTCATAATTTTTTATCAACTTTTCTCTTGGGGGTTCCAAGTTTTAGCATGGAATTAGACATCAGTTCCTCCGCCCCCCTCAGCTAAAAAATGAATGCTCCCTTACGCCACATTTATTCAGTCTGACCAGATTCATAAATGTCACGAACTTGTATATTTCAAAAATATCAGTACCAGAAATCAGAATTCAGAAAGACCGATTATTCTTTCATTGATCATGATTCAGTTGATTGATTTAGTTGATTGATTTAAAAAACTATAACTATAATAGAACATTCCACGTGTTTCCATTACCCTATATAGGCCTAGAATTTTTATCAATATGTTCTATTTTTCTGTGGCGACGGCATAACAAAATACGACACAAAAATGTACATTCGAATTTATGACCAACATATCAGAATGTTATTTATGAAGTTTGAATTGAATTTACTTAACGCGAAATAAATACTAAAATAGGAATTTTCTATGCTGGGTTAGTAAAAGAAAAAGCATAATTTTAATTGTATGTAATTTCGATGAATACTATAAAATAAATTACACGCATTGTTTATATAAATTACACATTTATTACGATAGTAGCGACGTTTGTTTTAGCCATGTAACAGGATAAACTATAAGCATTCTGATCAGTTATTTAACAAAAATATCAAACTTGTGTCTTGTGAATTAAAATTCACAAACTTTTGAAATTTATTCTCAGCTATGGAGCTCACGAATATATATTTTTTTTCAAAGAAAAATATTGAAATTCGATTATTTATAAAATTGATATTTTTGTTAAAAATGTTAGCTAATTTATATAAACAATGCGTATAATATTTTTTATAGTATTCATCGAAATTACATACAATTAAAATTATGCTTTTTCTTTTATTAACCCAGCATAGAAAATTCCTATTTTAGTATTTATTTCGCGTTAAGTAAATTCAATTCAAACTTCATAAATAACATTCTGATATGTCGGTCATAAATTCTAATGTACATTTTTGTGTCGTATTTTGTTAATATGCCGTCGCCACAGAAAAATAGAACATATTGATAAAAATTCTAGGCCTAAATAGGGGCAATGGAAACACGTGGAATGTTCCATTATACTTATAATAGTTTTTTAAATCAGTCAACTAAATCAATCAACTGAATCAATGAAAGAATAATCGGTCTTTCTGAATTCTGATTTCTGGTATATTTTTGAAATATACAAGTTCGTGACATTTATATGAATCTGGTCAGACGGAATAAATGTGTTATAACATTCAAAAACAAAGCTCTCTCAGCGTGTCAGGAAAAGAACATTACGACTATATTTACAAAAAGGGTATTACTAGCTGTGGTAGTTTCTTTCATCTGAGATGTGTTAGTCAGAAAGAAATTGTTTTCTTTTAGCGCCTCTCAAGAAATATGTTAATTAGCTATAAATTATGCAAAAATCATTGATTATGGGCTCCAGAAAATCTTAACTCGCGCCAAATACAGATTGATACCCGCAGGTTTTTCTTCAGATCTTCTGAAAATAAGTATAAATCATTACAGCCAAGCACATTTCAGCGTAATTTTAGGTCCCCATTTGGAGATCTCAGGCTTCGATTTTAGTGCAATTTTGTAGACCGAACAAGAAGCAAAAACCGGTGTGCCGTCAAGTCGCTGTCGTTTATTCACAATTTATTCAAATGCTCTTATTTTTTGGAACAGGGAACCTGAATTGTATCTTAACTTGTTGATCTAGTTGAAATTTGGAAATAGTCAGGCGTTTTGACACAGCGCGGCTCTACAATTTACCGAAATTCAACCTTCGATTTTGCTTGAAATTAGCTCTGCTTTCAACACACAAAAAAATAAAGGAAATCTATTTTCCGAAGTCAAAGTCATCGGACCGCTCTTAGCGGGACTGCCACTTAACGCCTTGGCTTTGCCATACATCATGATGCTTGCCGAATCATTGGATGAAAATACCGCGACATATATTTTATTTATCTCGGTTAAGATTCATGCATGCCTCGCTGTTTATGAATGTTGTCTGACCCTAATTCTACTACCGTAATTCCGTTGACCCTAAAGGCTCATACAGACCGAACGCGATTCGGCAACGCGACGCCGAGGGGCATTTCACTCCAAAAAAGCGTACGGGATTTTCGGATTTTTAAAAATCCGCGGATTTTTTAGCGGATTTAGCAGATTTTTCCCGGATTTTTTAGTGGATTTTTGAAGAGAAAATTTGCTGGATTTTCCGGATTTGTTCGGATTTTCCGGATTTGTTCGGATTTTTTTCTGGATTTTTGAAAATCTGTTGGATTTTCCGGATTTGTTTGGATTTTCCGGATTTGTTCGGATTTTTTCTGGATTTTTTTAAATTATAGAGTTATAGAGCTAGGTAACGTTTTGAACAAATAATCTTAAAGATGCGGTAAAGTCCTTTCTGCGCATATATTCTGCGCATCAAAACATTCCATCAGTGGGGGAGCATATACTCGAGCGTATAAATGGAAATGTAGAGTGGTCCAATAATTACGAAATATAATGACAGCGATCACGGTAAGCGTTTAGCTTTCGCTGTCCGCCATTTTGAACGTGACAAAGAACCTTTACGAGTAAATTACACCAAGTACTTCATATATTTTTTGTGGATTTGCGGATTTTTTGAGGATTTTGAAGGATTTCTGTGGATTTTTGAAGGATTTCTGTGGTTTTTAAAGGATTTTTCGGATTTTGATGGATTCAACGGATTTTGAGGATTTCATGGATTTTTTCTGGATTTTTTCCGGATTTTTTGACGAAGTGTACGGGATTTTTGGAGTGAATTGCCCCTCGCGCGACGCGAATTTTCAGTTTTTAAAAACAAATAAAACCGTCAACGGATAAAATTTCACAAGATTATTGTCCAAATAGCTAAAATTGCTTAAGTGGGTCCAAATATTTGAAAAACATAGAAAAATATTAAAGTTAAATGTTATTGAAAATTGAGAATTCGCGTCGCGTAGCCAATTCGCGCGTAACGTGCAATGCATGACTATAATATAAAATAGGTAAATATCGAGAATTTTGGTGAACTCGTTAATTTGATCGGACAAATGGTAGATTGGTTTTTAAAGATGAAATTTGAACGCAAATTTATATACATTTTTAGGCCTTAACCATGCATGAGCGTAACCATGCAAATTGCAAAAAATGTTTAACTATAGTCCCTCTGGCCCCAATCGCGCCTGTGGTCCGGTGTAGCGCTCTAACCAACTGAACTACAGAGTCCAGTTGCCGAGCGCAATTCAACAAAAACAAAAGAAAAATAACAAAAACCACAAATTCCAGGCATTTCAAGTGTAGGCCTACTTCTCGCGCTTGTCTTCCTTTTCAAATGCACGTTTTCGAAATTTTCCCCACAGTCGGGGGTAGCATGCACAAAACGCTAAAAAATGCTTTAGAGATGCCTTGGTATGAGGCAGTGACATATCCTTTTATTGAAGTGTATATAAGGGAAAATTCTAAACACGTTGTGAGGGACTAAATTCCCAGCATCTGCTGGATGCCAAACGTATAGACTTAAACAAAATAAACTTTAAAATGATGAATTATTTCTGAAACTACAGATACCTTTCTCTTTCCCTATGATTATAATTACATAATTTGTGAACTATGGCCATGTAAACAGCAGAGATACATGTGTCCTATTTTCTATTTGTTAATATCTGACATAATACATGCATGCAGTGATAATACCTAACTCACTTGTATTTAAATTCGACAATTTGTGCTATATATATTATATTTCGCGTAGAAGAGCGAAATATCATCCGCGTGAAAAGCTTTGCTGCTGCATGTAGCATGCGTGAAAAATAATTTGCTTGTAACGCTTGCTATAGTACTGTGACATGCACAAAATACTGAAAGTTATAGAAAAGAAAATTAGGAATTATTCTATATTTATCTATATATAACATAATGTAAAATATATTTTTATTGTTTCAAATATCGCAGTAAGATGCACAAAATTCATGCAGTAAATCGCGCGAATTCAAGGCTGAGCGAAAATTTTAATTTAATTTAATCCTACACGAATTTAAATACAAGTGAGGTATGATAGGGGAACTTGGAAATAACGCGAATTACAAATCAACAGGAACATAGAATTTAAGCGAAATAATAAACTTCAATTTCAGTAGCATAAAAGTAACGACTGCCAGCCAATAATGCTCGAGTATTGCTGTTGCCATAGCTGTAGCCTGATGGAGGACGGTATGTGTAGCCAAAGTTTGTGGAACTCGTTGAAGTCTTGGCATTCTTTGGAATATAGATATCATTTCCTCCACCAAAGGATGGTCCACAACTATCGTCTGTGTAAATGGCATTATTACTGTTTTGATAAACATGCGATTTGAAAGGACTGAGATTGTCTTTGTTACGAAAAGAGAAGAGGAAGCAGTTCGAACTTGATTTGTATGCACTGTTGACATGTAAAACTGAAAGAGAGATAAATTCGGGTGAGAATTAAATTAAATACTTTTCGTTATACGTACCGGAAGATTGTTTCCCAAATTTTTGGTGATTGCAAAAAGAAGATTTTAACTATTGGAACCGAGGCAGTATGAATGTAACGAGAAAATTCTATTACGGATATTCCATGGAATGAAAATTAATCTGAAACTTAGTTTTAATCTATAAATATAAAATTGGTATTTGTATGGTATCTCATAAAGGAAAATTAAAACTGTATACAAAACACGTTCCAGAGCTAATTGTGATATTCTATTTAGCAAGGAAATGGACAGGCAAATATTTCTAATATGAGAAATATTTGCCAGAAATGCAAACGAACGCAATTTTCCTTGCTAAAAATGCATATTTTGGGAGAATATTGCAGGAAAAAATCATGCACTGTAAAATGTGGAATAGACAAGGATAAGCTTGGCAAGGATAAGTTAAATATGTGATTTTAAAAGAAACCATAGTGGGTGGGGGGGGGGGGCGTACAAGGCTTCAGGGGTGATGTAGTGCGTGGAAAGTTCATGCATTGAATGCTTCAAATCCTGATTTTAATCTTTTTTTGCCGAAATTACAATTGACCCTGGTTTACTTTAAAACTGTCTAGAAGAACGTAATTTTTACCAATTTTTCCATGGCTGCGACCGGAAAAACATCTCTTTTGCTAAATATTTCAGCACTGCAGTGCCTCCCCCCCACCCCCCCCAGAAATTGAGAGCCAGCTACGGGCTTGTGTTATAGTAGAACATATACTATAATACACTGAAACTGGATTCTAATTTTTAAGTCAGAATTTTTTATCAAAAATTCTTCTGGCCAGTCTAAAGTTTGGATTAGCAGAGTTTGTTCTGATTAAATAGGCATATTGTTGAAGGCACAAGTAAATGTTGATCTGATGCCTGGTCTTGTGTCTAGGTATACATCGGTGGTGGCGGTGATGGGGGAGTAGTAACTATTTTTTAGAATACAATTGAGGAGGGTCATTGAATTGTTTTGCGATGCAGGGGGGGGAGGACATTTTGTTTAATTGTTAATTGAATTTTTCCGCCAACCCCCGGTTATAAATAATGAATGGTCCCTAAAGAGGCTTCCATGGCGTTGATTATGGCGTTACTCAATGACATACGCCAGAAAACGAATCGTACACGATTAATCGCAGCGTGTAAACGTAGCTTAAACGTAGCTTAAGATTATCACAAGTCTGACTTTACATTGGTAATAATGATAAAAAATAAAAAAACTTTAATAAAAACTCGAAACAAGCTACAATGCCAGAAGATAACTTGTCAACAGGAAGGTGGTATAGGTAATCCAGATCGTTTGCCGTATCTCTTGTTAAACCATGGACTTTTTACATTATTTAACGCCATGCAGACATGCAACTATATTACTCTATTTGTCAAGGAAAAAGTGTTTAGTGGTAAATAGTTTATATGCTTTTTAAAGCCTCATTGAAAGAGGGCAATCCAATTTTTTTTTCTCAGAAGTAAGTGGGCCCTGAACAAAAGAAAATTAAAGGACACCAACACAACATATAGCAGAAAAAAGCCAATAAAACACTACGAGAGCTAAAACATGTTTCGGGCAGAGACGTCTCTTCATGTCAAAAGTGCAGCTATAGTGGAGCTGCTCATGTGGTGTGGCTTGTTTGTCATTGGAGCTTGGGAGTCAAATCGGCTTGATCTTGGAAAAGTCACAGATAAAGGCAACACAATGATCAGATAGAGAATACACATATGTTATTTACCGGGTAGGAGGGCTGTACTTTTTCGAGGCCTCGAGAAGCGGCTCGAGACCGAAAAGGTGGCCAAAGTTTTGCCAAGAGGGTCCTGAAGGGGTAAAATGGGAACTGGGATTTGCTTATTTTTTGGGTGGGAAAATGGGATTTCATGCACTGGGACAGGGATTCATCATCAAAAAAACAAAAAACAATAGAAAATGGGAATGGGATTAAGATTTGAGCAGGACAGCCACTGAGATGGTGGGATTTGTGCTCTGGGACAATGGGATTTAGTCAAAATTTGGGCTGGGAAATGGGAATACGACCCCCCTTCAGGACCCTCTGCCAAGGCATGTCCTCGATCAAAATTTTCCAAAGTCAATTAGCCAGTCTAATATTAACCTTTTCACGCGTTTACATCTCACCTAACCGGTAAGATCTTCCAGAAAAGGTAGTAGGGTTCGCTGGAATCCTGAGAAATTTCCCGGTGACATAAAAATTGGTCATAATTAAGCAGTAGCTAGTTGTAAACTGATCGATGATTAAGTACCTTAAAACCTCCGAATGTAAGCCCACCCGAGTATAAGTCCCCTACGTGACTTATGTCCCGGAAATTTTTCACTATTTCCCATAGAAAATAAATTCTTCTCATTTCTTCAAACAAAATTGCTTCAACGTTTGTTGCGAATAGTCGTGAATAGTCGGGTGTGAATAGTCGGGCGGAATTAGTAGGCCTACCCTCGCCCCCGGACTTACGCCTGGAACGGTGCTCGGCGCTGTTGGCTCGGGGACAAAGGAAACCGCTTCATAATCAATCGCATAATAATTATAATTATAATTATATAGCAATAATTAAGGTTACAGAACACCTTTGAGTGTTAATTTTGCCTAAAATTTTTTTATTGGTTTCCATGAAAGCATTAGACTAGTTCTACTATCTGATCAAGTTTGGGCGAAAAATGTTGAAAACTCGCAGAGTTATTTTATTAATAAAATACATTTCGCTTGCAATAAGAAAAACATTGAAAATGTAATATTCAAATTCAATTTTCTCCCGAAGAATTTTACGGCAATTACTGATTTTTAAACGAGTTGTGCTCCTGCGGGTTTTAACGAATTTTTCTCAAATTTTCACAGGACATAGCTAAAGGCGTCAGTTTCAAAATTGTGTTCGGCTTTGTTCTAATTTTGGATATTTTAATAATAAGGAGCAATTCACACAAACGATTCAGAAATATATTGCAGTCGTCATCGCCATATCAGCGGAATGACGAAATAAACAAAAATTTCCGAACACCTTTTTTTAGAACAACTATTTTACTGTATAAAAATGATATTGTCATAAATATATCTTAAAACCAGCAGGAACATAACTCAAAAGCGTAAAGGTACCGCGACTTAAGATTTTCCTGAATAATTCTTACATTATTTTATTGTTTGTCAATTTTACAACTTTATCATATTTTGCATGCACTGGCTAACATTT